GAACAGCGTGAGTGAGTGTTGCTGCTTCACCAAGGGCAGTCTGAGGAAGCTGGCTGTTTTTACTGTGAACGCTCGGCCGAGATGTTTTGGGGCTGTGGCCTTCATGTCTGCTCGGGCACCAGCAGTTGCACCCCCTGTCTCTTCTGCACCATCAGTGCAGCTGGCCACATGGGGAGAGGTTAATGGCATCTTGATAATATTATAAATATTACAGCATCGCTGTAGGGACCCTGGACTCCCAGGGTCAAGGGAGCACAGAGCACACTTTGAGCATGGCTATCCGATGCTCAACAGAGGTGCCAATTTCAGTCCGAGGGCCGAGACAGTGGGCTAGCAGAGCACTTCTGCTGGTGCCATCTAGCCCTCCTCCTAACCGAGACTAAGTCTTCCACTTGATGCTCTGCAGCTGGCGCGAGCCGCTTTCTCAGAAACCGAACTCCTAGTCACCATGTTCGTGTATGTTTCGCCTCGCCCTGCGAGCCGGGGCCTTCCCACGCACCTCCAGACTCAGAGTTATGCACATCCACGTGGCTGAGGAGTCAGCTGGCAGCACGAGGCTTCACACAGAACAGCAGCGGGCCCTCCCCGCCCGCCCTGCCCCTCCTGAGAAGCAGCCGCTTGCCTCTGCCACGGCCCACCCTGTCCTAAAGCAGAGCCGACATGGCTGTTTCTCATGTTCGCTGTAGGTATCGGCGCCCACCCTGCTCCGACAGAGGGCAGAGTTGCCTCTCTCCACCATTGCCCTGTTTCTCCTTCCCGTAATCTCCCACATGGCAGCATCCGTTTTGACCGAATTCTCAGTGTTTTACATTAGCGTGCCTGTGGAAACACGACTCAGAGCCGAGCCAATCGGGATACTAAGATAACACCTTCCTGCACTTCCGGTCTTACTTTCCCTGCACGAACACTAATTGTGCCCCAACTCCCCCAAAGCATCGCTTTCAAATACCACCCTCCACAGTTAAGTACCTCGGCTACCCGCCCTCTCCCCGGTGCCCACTGTACAATCCCACCTCAGCAGAGAACGTAAGACCCTCCCTGTAGAGATGGAATGGCCCCCGAGATAAGAGCCCCAAGGGACCTGGGGACAATAACAGAAGGTCTAACGTTTGTGTCATAGGAAGTCTCAGAATAAGAACCGAGTGCAGAGCTCAAGAACAGTGGAAGACATGATGCCTGGCAACTCCCCAAATGTGTCAGCAGACAGACACGTATAGGTTCAGGAAGCTCAGTGAACCACAGCCAGGGTTAGCCCAAGGAAATGCACATCTAGACACATCATACTCAAACTGCTGACAACGGTAGAAGCAGGGAAGTCCCTGGAGAGAAATCAGATCACGAAGGGCTGTGATGAGAAGAGATCTGGGTTTCCCGACAACAATGGAGGCTGGACAGGTTACAGCAGGGCCTTCGTATCCTCTGGGGAAAGTTCCAACATGACAGTCCAGTCTGAGGTCTTTTCAGACACGCAAACGCTCACACAACCTGGGGCTCATGTTCCTCTTCTTGGGAAATAAACCACAAAAGAAGGCCACAAAGGATCCTGGGAACAAGAGACAGAGAGAGGGCGAGGAGAGACAGAGTGACCACAGGACACGCTTGTACCAGATCCAGAGACCAAGGAGACCAATGGGAATGAGGCGAGGGCTGAAAACAAACTAGTGCATTGTCTGAGCACCGGGGAAATCCTCGATAGCATGTGACACATCTACTGGATATAGGCAAAAAAATAAATCCCTAAGTTCACAGAAAATTTAGCAAATAAAAGTAGCTAGCAAATTGGTATCTACAACAGGAAAAACCCTATAAAGAGAGAGAAAAAAACTCGATCCGAGTGCCTCTGGGAAGGAAGGGGCAAGACAGCTTTGTCTCCGCGCACCTTGCGCCACTCTTTGATATTTGAGCTATGTGCGTGTGTTACTTTGATTGAAAGAATGAATTATCAATTTAAGTAACAGCATTTTCAGATTTGGAAAGCCCTTTACCCTGGGTACGTCAAAGTCATCGAGGGCTTTTCAACTCAGAGATGCCAGGTCCTACCCTGGAGTGTCAGGTTCCAGGGCTTGAGAAGAGCCGGGTCAGTCCACTAAGGAGGGAAACCTGGTGAAATTGGGTTACAACTAACTTTTCGGCAAGAAGTTTGGTAAACTTGTTAACTCAAGAAATTAGACGTTAGCCTTCATCTCCCTGTCCTGGTGGGAACACACGGCCGAGGTCTCAGAAGAATTATCATGACCCCAGTCAGCTGTGCTGTGATCTGAATCACAAGACTGGCAAGAGACAGGGATGAGCTGGGGTCTGGAAAAGACAGCTTACGGGCCACTCAGGGCCCACCACGCAGAGGCAAGCAGGAAAGGCTGCCACGGAGAGGACGATGCACACGGCCGACCAGACCTGCGCTTGACGGTCAGCGGAGTAAAAGCAGGGCCAGCGGCCAGCGCTGCCTCAAATCCACGGTTACGAGAACAGAAATGGCTTCCTCTGTAAAAAGATAAAAGGCCCGTCCAGGAACTGCATTGATCGGGGAGCTCTTACGCGTGCCCTCCAGAGAACCACAACAGGGGAGGGACAGCAAATGGGCCACAGGTTGGGGGGGGGACTGCGGCTATTCCTCCGCCTTGAACTTCACCCCTGGAACGCCCAGCCCCCACTGCTACACCGTCCTCTCTTCGTGTCCACATGAGGCCACGTCAAAAGGGTGCCAGGGTCGGAGAGAGCTGCTGCCACCCGGGTCTGTGCACCCAGACCCCGGACGCCGCATTTGTGGTGGCACCTGACCGCAGCACCCCTTTCTTCCCTGGTCCTGATCAAAACACCTGGCACCACGGGAGGAGCAGGCGCAGCGATGGGCCACCCTCGGGCCGCGATCAAATACGTGGGCTGTCACCGCCCAGCTGCTGGAATCCCTGTGGCCAATTAATTTCATGGTTTCCTCCCAAGAATGTGACAGTGAGTGGGAGAGGGGAAGAAATGAGAGGGAGAATGGAAGGGGGAGAACAAGACAACTAAAATGATGCATTTGATACATTAACTTAAATAAACTAAATAATTGAAACGAACTAAAATTAAATTCCTGGATGGATATTGCTGACAATGTTATCAGTCTGATGGGGGGGTGAAGTGGCCAGAACATAAATTTGAAATTGTAGGTCTGTCTCAATATAACACTTCTAATGCCTTCATGGGTTTGTATGTAATGAAGTGGGTGGGTGGGTGGGAAGAAGGAAAGAAAAGTAGACGGTGATTGGCATTTGTATAAAGTTTTAGCTTGTCAGAAATCTTCCCATCTGCAGCTTTCCAGCATAAGCCTCTGTATTTCATGATGCTTACACCTTAAAGGGACAGGAACTCCGTCCAACCAAACCTCATGACACAGAAGAGAAATTGGTGAAGTGCTGGCCCAAGGTCACAAACNTCAGAACCTCTCCCCATTTCATCCAAGCCCCACACACACTGCACTCTCAAGAAAAAGGCAACTGAATCCTGACAGAAAGCATCAAGACGTAACAAGTGGGACAGGAAAAGTAAGGCCCTTCGGCGAGGCGCAGACCAAAATCCCAGCTAAGAAACCGCCTTCTAAGGAACAGAAGTCCGCTACTGCTGACTTGACAAGGTAGAAATGCACAAAGACATCCTAAGGCAGACGTTCTAACATCGGTCCCCCAGCTCTGTGAGCAGAAACTACCTCCGGGCACCGTTTCAGGCAGGACCCAGTTTACTTCCAGCTATTCTCTTCTCTCAGGATGTAAATAATGCACAAAGAATTCCTAAATTCAGATCATGTGGGTGAATGATTCACAAATGGGGGTCCACGCAGGAAAGTCTTCCCAGGGTCTCCACGCCGTCTGTATCCAGGGGCTGAGGCTCCCAGGAGGCACCACACGGCCACTGCCAGCGGCCTTTCCCGTCGCATCCGTTAGAGAATTCAGAACCAGCCCATCCCACAAGGCTGGGTGGAAAAGCACCTCCACACACATGCCATGTTTCTAAGTTCCTATTAAAATTAGTAAGTCCTCAAACCAGTTAAGAGAAAGACTAAAGGAAATGGGTCTTTGGGTGGTTTACAAATAACTTAAGATCTTGAAGGAAATCTGACACAGTTATCATATTCCATACCACTTTTCTCATTAAAAAACTGTAAGATGTAAGCCACAAAAGACACAGTAATTGGTAACTGGCTCCCTAAAAAGAACTTTCCCTTTGGATCAAAGACAAAGCATATAATAGGTGTCATCTTTTGAATGCTGAGTGCTTTGTTTCTCAACTGTTTGAAAACTGAAGAAAGGAGAGAAATAGCTCTCTCACTAGTGAAGTTGCAGAAAAGTTACAAAAACTACATTTCCTGTGCAAAATAAAAACCATGATTTAAGAGTAACATGAAAAATTCTTTCTCTAAAGATTCTGGGGGGGAGGGGAACTTCGGCAAAATAATAGACCATGCAATCTGTGACTGACGCCGGCGTGTGCAATTCACTACAAGGCGACAGAGCGAGTGCAGCGCGTCCACGGAGCAGAAGGGGAGCCGCGGGGTGGGCCGAGTTACAGGACATGCGGGTCGGGAAAAGGTTCTCCCTGGATCCAGACTGTTTGAAACCAAGGAACAGTCGTCTCCCTGTAAGAAACCAAGAGAACAGCGAACAAAGAAGGCTTACCCTTGGCTGCCAGTTCTCGTATTGCTTCTGTAAATTTGCACCAATGGTTTCCAGAGCCTTCTGAGGACCCATGGACAGAGGATCTGGGGAAACAATGAAAAGGAGAAAGGTCTTTATATGTGCATTGCCTCCTCTGCTAAACCTCTTTCAGCATTTCCTTGGACATAATTCACTTCAAAGTCACCTCTGACTACAGAGCACACAGCAGGGCCTGCGGTTTATCTGTGTTTAACCAGATTTACGGAACTGCTGAGGCACGCATACAGGCTAACACGCCACAACTTTTTGCCTTTCTGGAGAAAACTCGTTTTATTAAGCCGGCCCCCGTCGCTGTGCTCCTCCATCACGTTTTGTTCAGCACGGTGGTCCTCTGCACTCGGGCTGTCCATTCCGGGCTCCTGTTCAGGCTTTGGGGGAAGGCTAGGACTGAGCTTCTGTCAGACGCCGTGCGCCAGGGGCCTGCAG